AGTTCTTGCTATGTATAAAGATTGGTTTACCACATACAAGGAACTGGGGTTTTTTCCAATATGAAGGAATCTGCCTCTTTTCAATAGACTTCCTGTTTCCGTGTGATGCTTAATCTGATAGCATTATCTATTAAGATAAGAAATCTAATACCTATCACACAATGTCATAGAGCAATTCTTCAACGGAAGAGACACAAACAATTCTCTTTAGTCAACTAAGTGAAAGGGTTTGTAGATTTGTCACTTTTAAAGAGAATCATGTATGTGAATACTTTCAATTATGTTAGACCCACAGCTGTGTCCTATACAGTGTACATGTATCTGTCACCTTTGAAAAGACCAAGGGGCACATCTGAATTGTTGCCTGTTTTTGATTTTGATTTTGGAAATGGGCAATTTCTCAGTTGCTTTACAAAGGACAAACTTCTTATCAACTTGATTCAAAGTGTTTATAATGTGTGTGTGTGTATGGGGGGTGTTGTTACTGCTTTTTAAGAGGTACGGTATCTTTGGTTTATAATTCAAAGGGTACAGAAAGGTGTGAGAAAAAAAGTCTCCTTCTGACCTTTGGGTCACAATCACTTTCAGTTCCTTTCCCTGAAGGCAGCATTCAGAATAATGCTTTCTTTAACCTCAAGTAAGAAAAAGTGCTATATGAATTCTATTTAGCATATTCATTAAATTCTGCTTAATCAAATTCTACAGAAATAAATGGTGACTGGAAAAGAGCTGATGCTGTCTGGAATAAAATGCAAGAAGAAAATGTTATTCCTCGTGAGAAGACATTAAGATTATTAGCAGAAATCCTTAGAAATAGTAATCAGGAAGTTCCATTTGATGTACCTGAGGTAATTTCTTTTTAGCATAATTATAAACATATTTTGTTGTCAGTATCATTAGGCCATATATTAGCCCACTTTTATACTGAAAAGATCACTTTATTTACCGGCTTTTGTTAACTGTATAATTTTTGTGTTAAAGTTATGGTATGAAGATGAAAAAGATTCCCAGTATTCTTCACCATCTACTTCACCAGTAGAAAGCGATCTCCAAAAAGATGTGTTGAAAGCCTGCCAAGACAAGAACAACACAGGTAAACATGTACACGGGTGTCTTTCTAATAGCAGCCTGGGATCTAAGCCCAACAAAGTAGAAGTGCTCCAGGATAGAGACTGGACTTAAATTTTATATATCAATTGTTTTCTTTCACTCTTTAAATTAACAAAGACATTTTGGGACAGTTGGAAAAATTTAATATCGACTGAGTGGTAGGTAATATTAAGGAATTACTCTTACTTTTATTATTAATAGATAGAGTAGTATGATTTATAGGAAAATATTCTTAAATTTTGCTATTCATATGAATTGAGGAATGAAAAAATCAAAATATATGTAATTTAAAATACTTAAGCCATAAAAAATGAAGCAAATCTGGCAAAATATTAGTTGTTAAATATAGGTGATGGATATATGGGAGGTTGAGTTCATTATACTGTCCTTTGTACTTTTCTGTACATTAGTAATTTTTCATTTATTATAAAAGATATACATTTTTTTTAAAAAATTATACTTTGAAAATAATTTTGTAGGCAAATATAACTTATTTGAAAGTAAAAAATGATTATGGCATTAACTATCATACTAATGTGTGATCAGCAGTATCTCAAAATTGGAGGCCTTCTACTTCTATTATGTCTTTTTTTTTTTTTTTTTTTTTGAGACAGAGCCTCGCTCTGCACCCTGGCTAGAGTGCAGCAGTGTCATCATAGCTCACTGCTACCACAAACTCCAAGGCTCAAGTGATCCTCCTGCCTCAGCCTCACAGTTAGCTGGGACTACAGCATGCACCACCACATCCAGCTAATTTTTCTATGTTTTGTAAAGACATTGTCTCACTTTTGCTCAGGCTGTTCTCAAACTCCTGGCCTCAAGCAACCCTCTCGCCTTGGCCTCTCAAAGTGCTAGGATTACAGGCATGAGCCACCGCACCCCACCTATTATCACTAATTTAAAATTTTTATGATCATCTTTAATCCTCAGATATGAGCTTGCAGATTAAATTCTGTTTTTTCATTTAGACTTCTTTTTTTTTTTCCCCTCCCTTTTGAGACAAGGTCTTGGTCTGTTCCCCGGGCTAGAATCTAGTAGTGTCATCATAGCTCACTGCAACCTCAAACTTCTGGGCTCAGATGATCCTCCCACCTCAGCCTCCAGAGTAGCTGGGACTACAGGCACACCCCACCACACCCAGCTAATTTTTCTCTGTTTTGTGGAGAAGGGGGGCAGCGGAGGGAGTCTTACTATGTTGCTCAGGCTGGTCTCCAACTCATAGGTTCAAGTGATCCTCCTGCCTTGGACTCACAAGGTGCTAGGATTACAGGCATGAGCCATCGCATCCAGCTCATGTGTACTTCTTATACCCTCCCCAAATCATGTATTACTCTTATTTCCTTTGTTTTGTTAATTTCTTTCCATAGAATGATTTAATTCCTTCAGTATCAGGACAGATTTCAAGTGTGCTTTATTATTATTGTTTAACTATTAAGGAAATAAATACAGCAGTAGGTTTTTTTTTTAATTTTAGTATTGACACTTTTTTGAGCTTTATTCAGTAGAAAGCAATCGATTTAGAAATTTATGGAACTTAATTACCTAATTTAGAAATTTTGTGACACTGATATAAAATGTATGAAGTAAGAATAAGCTAAGGTCTTATGCCTTCCCAATGACCCAGAGTATGACTTCTTATTCTTTCTGAGTCATAGTCCTTTGTTGCATAGTCAGTCTGTACATCCTTGAGTTTTTCACTGTGCATCTGTTAAAGCTAAATATAAAATTTATTGTTGTAGTCAATACTATGTAAATATTCTGGTGAAATTTTGATTTGGCTTAAAGGAATATAGAGTTAGTGTGTAGTTAAAGTGAAAACATTTAACTAGTTAACTAAATAATTAGTATAAATGTAGAGCTATGCCTCTATTCTGGTTTTGATAGTATAATTTTCATTTATCTAATTGGTTTATCCTGTTAATTCGTTAGAGTTTTTAGGTTTGTTTTTGTATATCTTAGGATTCAAATGTTTAGCAAAATATGAATGCTTTGAAAATTGAAGGCTTGCATTAGCACTTTCCTGATAGTTCAGCCTACTTGAAGATGTATTATGATTGTCACACCAGGAACAAACTGTGGTAAATGGGCCTGGTATATTACAATGCTAATTTTAAAATAATAATAATAATAAGGTAAAATAAACACAACCCATCAATTTAGTGTGAAGACCACAATTTTAGAAAACATCTAGTAATATTTTCTAGATTTATTTTGTTGGTTTTAAATATTCAGAGTATTTATTGTACATCCTCATCCAACAAACTAATGAACTATTACATATGATTGTTAGGAAGCAGACAATAATTGCATTACATCTTAGCCCTCTAAAAAAGAAAATACATGCAGTGTGTATGGAGTGGCAGATTCTGTTGCAGTCATGTTATTGTGTGTCATTTAAAATATTTTATTTAGCAAAGCTATTATGCGACTTCAGTTGCAAATAAAACTTTGTTCCTAAATTTGTGACAAATTGATGCCAGTACTCAAATGAAGATAGGACTTCATTTGCTCCCATTTCAGAAAAGTAAAATTTTGCTGAATAGACTAGGTGTTTGATGGAGTAATCTGTAAATAATAGTGGAATTTTTCCCTGTTCGTTTGTATGTTTTTATTTTTGACTTTTTGCCAGTGCCCTGGAACATATAGGTGTTCACCAACATAGAAATCTGATACAAGGCATGTGGCAGTTTAATGACTAATAAGAAATGTTTTTTTGAAAGACCTGTTTAAAATGTTGTCAGCTTATACCACAGTTACTTTCACTTGCCCAAACTCTTCTCCTTAGTTAAAATGCGTATATAAATGCTGTCACAACTTTTCCTTTTTTTCCCTGAATTTAGCTTGAAGGGATAAATAAGTCTTGACATTGCCACTTCAGTTTGAGGGGTTAACGCAAACCTCCCCTAAAAGCATAACAGTTTTTACTCGTTCAGAAACTTCTAAAGTAGCTCAGAATGTTCTTCTGAACATTAATGTCATGTTCATTCCTAGCTACATGTTCCGTATTTCCTTGTATTGAGCCTTATTTTCACAGAAGGCCGTACATGGTAGTTCAGTTATGCCCCATCTTTATTGCGATTTGTTTATGCACACAAGAGAGTAGACTGTAGTTTCAGTTGGCTGTTTATAGCCCCGCAATTTTATTTCAGAAAAGTAAGTGACTGAAAAGTGTAGCTACTTCTCTTTTGGTAACATCTTTTCATTCACTGACAGTTATTGTGAACAAGTGAAATAAAACTGTTAATCAGTCAAACAAATGTTGCTTAGTTTACTTGTTAGATATCTGTATATTCGAAAATTGTATGTTTTTGTATAAGTCCTGTCGTAGCCAAATAATGTGATCTCCTAATTTTAGAATTATAGGCTATATTCACTTTAATGCTGTTGTGCTGAAATGATAACCATTGTAACCACCCACTTATAGATTAAAGATTGCTTCGAAATGAGTCTTTTGCTCCCCTCAATCTAAATTATACCTCTGGTTTCTTTGGACTTTAACACACATTTTGCAATTGATTTTGATATCATCTTTTGATAAATTCAGAAGAGCTGTTTCTTATTTTTATTGGCATGAAAATAATTTGCTGACCTAAGAAAGCAAGTATGAAAAATAATTTTAAAAGGAAACACTTTCAGGTACTATCCATTTGGATTAAGTAGTAGTTTCAAACACTGTAACTGTGTCCTTAAAAGATTTGAAGAATGACATCATCTACTCACTGGGTCACCGTGTTTCTCTACAGAGTGGTAATGGTGTGGGTATTAATAAACAAAAATATCTGGGTTTAGGACTTTTTTAAAAGATTTTTTTTCACTCCTTTTCGCCATTACAGAATAATGTCATCTCACTTTTTGTTTTTTTGTTTTTTCTCTTATAGATGCGTATGATATTTTCCTGAAAGCACAAGAGCAAAATGTCGTGTTTAAGTCTAAAACTTACAACATTCTCATAAAATTACTTTTGTCGAAGGAGTGTTTAGCACAAGCAATACATGTGAAAGATTTGTAAGTATTAGTCCAGTTGTTAAACTTCTTACTTTTAAAAAATATTGGCTACTATTAGGATCTTTCTAATATGCTGTGCAGTGGCAGTTGATTGATTAGCCTCAACTACCCATAAAAATCATATGAAATTGTTAACTAATTTTATGGGGTTCTTTTAACCTTAGGAAAAAAAAATCCCTTTACTAGCCATACATAGTACATTTAATTTACTTTATATACCCTCACAACTGATTTAAGATATCCATGTATAGAAAAGTAATTTTTATTGTATTCTGTTGTATTTCTTGTTCAGCCACTATGTCCATGTACCTTATGTGGTGGGAGCAGCTTGATATAATGAAGACACCAAGAACTTTGAACTTAGACTAGAGTTTGAATCTTACTTGAAAGCTTTATGACCTTGTGAAAATTACCTCTCATCTCTGATCCTCAGTTTTCATTCTATATGATGAATGCATGATAATATTTATATTAAAATTTTCTTCTAGGTATTGAAGGAGGTAGAGTGAGGTAGAGAAAACATTGGTATTCAACACATTTTATATGCTTTTTTCCTTTCCCCTGTTGTGTTTTTTGTTTGTTTTTGGATTTTCAAAAAAATCTGTGTGGTGGTACTACTAGACGTGGTAGTGGTTTTGTCTCTCTGGCTAGTCATCTAGAGTAAAATACTTTGCTAATCAAAACAAGAATAAAGGTTTCTTACTTGGTGTGTTAGTTATCTGACTCTTGTCTGTGGCCTTACCCTCAAGCTGCTGTCTTGAAAACTTGGGTTATTAATCATAAAGGGCCTAAAAAGGAATAGATCAGGGTTACCTGCTTTGAAACATATAAATGTCCTGTTGATGGGTTAATAGTTTTATTTTCAATAGGAAAGGTTAACCTTTTCCTAGAATATTTTGAGTTCTGAAATAATCTATCTTGCTTAATTTTTGGCCTGCAAGATTTTTAAGTCACAGCAATTTTCGAATATTAGAATCTTGAATAGAAAATGGATACTTGTCATTCTTTCACATCCCTAGAAAACCTGGCATTGATACTAGTGTTGTGAAAGGTATCCATCATAGGCTGTACTGTTTGTGTTCTAGTATGGTTTGAAAAATGTGTTCTATATGACTGTACTGCTCTATGTGGAATCATCGTTTGTATGTCTTGATATGGGACAGTCACGCTAAGACTGTTTTTAATGTTCTTGTGTCTCATTTGTGTGTTAACTCAGTGACTAATTAAATTATGTATCTCTAGAATACTCAGTATACTCTCAAATAGTGATTTGGAAAATTTGACATTGAACAATATCTAGTCATCTGTGACCACTGACTTGAGAGTAGATCATCGTCCAAAATTACTTTTCTCAGGAAATTATTATGAAAGTATCCCAACCATGTCCATAATAATCAAAGGTGTTTTGAAGCAACAGTGATTTGGGAGGAAGGGAGGCAGAAAAAAAGAGGAGCATTTCATGTTGAGAATTAGGTATGATTGAGGGAGGAGATAGAATTAAAGAGGAAAAACTTATTTAAAAACTCAGAAAATGTGTAATCCTGGTTGGTCACAAAGGCCTCTAAAGTACTTCCCAAAAGTACAGATTATACTGTTTTCATTTTAATTCGGCGTGTTCTAGAACAGTGATTCTCATTCTGGTGGTGTAAAAAGATACCCCACAGCCCGCCACAAAGGTCCTGGTGGGACCGATCTGGTCTGGGGCCCAGCTATGTGCATTTTACTGAGCATCCCCGGTGATTCAGGAATCACGTCCTGAACATTGTGATCACATACCTTTAATAGTACTAATTGTACTATTGTACTAAGGTGTCACATGTAAGTATATTACAAAACATACTCAAAAAATAGAAAATATTCAGGAGAGTTTAAAAAGAGGTTTAAACATTTCCTTGCGTCACCCTGGTGTATTCGTTTAGCACTCATGCCTCGCGTGGAAGACCACTGATCCAGGGTGGTTTCCAAACTGCAGTTGTAACTAATAAGTGGGTCAGGGATATAATTAGTTAGACGGAACCAGCATTTAAAAAAAAAAGAAATAGAAAATATCAGAGTACTTCACTTAGTAAAGATATTGTTTTGTGAAACATTGATTTCAGTTATGTGTGCATGTATGTATCTTTGCACTGGGTTGTAGCATGAAAACATCATTTCTTACTATAGTTTTATCGTGGATCTTGATCTAACAAGGTTGAAAGCTGCTGACCTAGAAGATAGTTATAAGCATGGCCCTTCTATTTCCCCTTATATTCACAACCTGTAAAATGTAGGTTTATCTTCCCTTCCTCTCTAGATCTTCATGAAGCCTTTCTGAGGTATAACTGACATATAAAAAGATGGCTGGATGTGGTGCCTCGTGCCTGTAATCCTAGCCCTCTGGGAGGCTGAGGCGGGAGAATCGCTAAAGCTCAGGAGTTCCAGACCAGCCTGAGCAAGACGAAGACCCCGTCTCTACTAAAAACAGAAAAATTAGCCAAGTGTAAGTGGCACGTGCCAGTAGTCCCAGCTACGTAGGAGATTGAGGCAGAAGGATGGCTTGAGCCCAGGAGTTTGAGGTTGCAGTGAGCTATGCGCTCTAGCTCAGGTAACTGAGTGAGATATTTAATGTGTATATCTCAGTGAGTTTGGGGGATGAGTATACACCCATGGAACCATCACCACCATCAAGGCCATAAACATAACCATCATCCCCCACTCTCTGTATCATTATTATAATTTGGGCAGTTTTTTGTGTGTAAGAACACTTAAGATCCACCCTCTTAGCAATTTTAAGTATACAGTTCAGTATTGTTAGCTGTAGGCACTGTGTTGTATAGAGCTCCAGAACTTGTGTAACTGAAATTTGGACACTTTAACCATTTCCCTCCTCCCAACCCCTGACAACCACCATTCTCCCTACTCTGAGTTTGACTATTCTAAGTGAGACTTTCTGTACTTCTGAGGAGACTTATTTTAGCTGTGTTATCCCACCAGGCTTATTCTGTACTTGTGTTCCCTGTGTAGCTATGTGGGCCCAAGAGAATCCTAGATCCAAAGCCTCAAGTCAGTCTGGGCATTGGATGTATGTCCTTTCCATTGAACCAATAAATGTTATATCTAACTATGTAGAATTGTTTCTTGGGTTAAATCTATGTTGAGTGCTTTTGAAAATAACCCTGGACTGGAAATTGGGAAGTAGAAGTTTGAATTCTAGTTGTCCAACTAAGTATGTTACTTGACTTATGTCAAGAAGTATTTTCTCTGGATTCATTTCCTAGTTTATTGCCAACACTAGACAAGGTCATCTCTTTCCCTTTTAGCTCTGTATCTGTGGTCAGAGTGAAAAAGAAGTGTTGCTTTTTTATATAGACAATTTTATTGTAATGTAGTGACTGAATGAGCCGCTGTCTCAAGTGACAGAACCTCCTAGTGTTGTCCTGGCGGTCTTACTCTTGATCCATAAATAGCAACCTGTTGTTACAATTACTCATATGATGTCACTTGTTCAACATTATGAGCCATAGTTTTCCTATAAACTAAAAAATGGCATTTTTGTTTTTATTGTACTTCTGCTGTCATTTAATATGTTATGGATGATGCACTTGATTTCTGATAGGATTTCTCTGATTTTTATTAAGGAGATCATTTAAACTTCCCAGCAAGTCATTGAACCTCAAAAGTAATAGTAACAGCTGCCTTTTAAAAATTTTCAGGAAACTAACTTCCTTTTATTTTTAGTTTCTTCGCGTTTCAAAATAATTTTCCTATAGTGAATTCTTTCAAGGGAACAAAACTGCCTATTCAAAGAGCAGTAAGAGGTGTAAATTGTTATTTTAAATCTCTGATAACACTAAACTGTATTCTTAGGGAATTTGGGAATCGTGTAACAACAGCCCTGCTTTATATCTTTTTTCTTGTCCTTACTAGCTTTATATTTCATTCTGTCTAGAAATAATGCTAAATCTGTCACTGCTGATTGTCACTGAATTGGCCAGTTTTTGTTATCCAAAATAATATAATTCATAATCACCAACTAATGTCCTATGTGCGTGTCATGTACGCATAATCCATAGACTATTTATTTATTGCTCTGAAATGTCTCATGTAGAACTTTTGCTGTAATGCAGTCTTCTTTGGTTAAGATAGTTTAATTTTTGCATTTGATCATAAGTTCAAAGATTGATACTTTCCCCCTGTAATTTTTTTCCTTTATTTTGGCAGTTTTACAAATAAAAAGAAAATGTCTAGAATTCTTCTCTGTCCAGTTCAGTAGCCACTAGCCATATGTGACTGTTTAAATGAGTTAAGATTAAATATAATTAAGATTTCTGTTTGCTCGTCGGAGTAGCCATGTGGCTAGCGACTAGCCCGGTTAGCGCAGATAAAGAATATTCCCATCGTCACAGGGTGTTTGATTTGACAGCTCTATACTAGAGTTTCTCCCAAAAGGAAAGATCAAAATTAATAGGAGTCAAAAATAAATTTATTTTATTGTACTACATCAATGATTCCAGTGCAAAGGTCTCTACCAGTAACTTCTGTCATTTTTCTCCTTTTGTCAGTTTGGAATATATTTTGGTTGTGATTTGTCAGTTTCTACGTATGTGATGATGTATCATTATATAACAGACCTGGGAGTTTTTTTCTTCCTGGTTTTTATCTTCATTTTCATATTCGTAATGAATAGGCGGCTTCCTGAGATAGGAAAAGATTATTGAAAGATAATGTTAATGAGTTTTGAGGTTTTCAAAAGGTTTGTAGTTCACAACTTGGTGTCAGTTAAAAGAGTAGTTTTGTTACCTTGTGCATTTAATTGATTTTAGATAATATTTTTAAGTAAGGTATAATACACGTAATAATATTGGCATGAGAAGCGAGCTTTTAATAGTGTCTAATTTTTATTTAATCATGCTAAAGATTGAGAAAGTAAATCCTTTATTTCATACAATTTATAGTCTCATGCATGACTTGTTGACTTAAGAGCTTTGACAGATGGGACAAAGGAAAAAAGTCAAACTGAGCAATGGGTGCTTTGGTGGGATTAAGAGGATTCGACTAGGAAATAAGAAAATCCTGTGTCCAGGGACTACAGGGGTGAACCGCAGAGGCTGAAAGTGACTGAGAGGATGGGCATTTCATGGTGTCTCTGGAGGATTTTCTTGGGATTGATGAGAATAATTTAGCAGTGACCCTGCTTTCCTTGTAATCTGCTCAGCTTATGTGTACATGTTGGCAGGCCACGAGGTTGTTGGCAGCAAGTCATCACTGAGCTCGATAAGGCAAATGGCAGCAATTCCTTTTGCTCCTTTTGACCTGTTTAGATTTCCTAGTTGGGGAGATGAACCCTGGGGGCATTAAGAATGCTGAAATTTCATCACAGAAGATGTACAAACAGTGTAGCACACAGAAATCATCCCCAGCTAGGTTTGGGGGTTTTTGTTTGGTTTTGCTTTTTAAAATCCTATAGGTTTTAGTAAATAGGTAAAGCGATTTTTTGTTCTTGAGTTTTAAAAAGTTGGGGGTTTTGTTTCAAATTTAAGGCTGGGACAAGATTTTTGTGTGAAATTTTTAATGTTAAAGTAACAGCGGTTTTAGTTCTGCAGAGTATGTTCAGCTTTAAAAACTGTATATATCTAGATGACAGAAATTTGAAAATTAACCAAATGATACGGTGTTAGTTAGTAATATGCTTTAGTTTATATTTGAAATATACAGTGCTGAAAATAAATGTTCATTTTTGTTGCTGGAAGAATAGTTTTACATTTTATAATTATGGTGAATGTAGAAAAAAGAGGAAAAAGTATCCAGCTTAGGATACAGCAGAACAATGCAGGGCATGCAGTTATTTTAGTCATCTAATATGTCAGCATTCAAGAATCTGAACCGATTGTTTAAAAAAAATCTTGTACTTTGTTTCTTTTGTTGCTCATTTCCAACTTTGTCATCTGTCAGAATGCAAAAAAAAATTATCCTTCTATAACCATTGACAGGATAACACAAAAGCTGTCTCCAGGTCGATATTTTGCAGCAATATTTTTAACATACGAACAGTAGTTTTTATAATTTCACCTTGGCGCTCAACCATTTATTATCGTATCAGAAGCATGTCAGTAATTCCTTTCTAAATGTCTGCTTCTTTTAGCGCTGAGACCCACATCAAGGGCTTCACACTGAACGATGCTGCCAACAGCCTCCTCATCATAACGCAAGTTAGGCGGGATTATTTGAAAGGTATGTCACAATGCTTGACCTTTACGTCACATTAATGCCTCTGCAGATTTTTCTTGTAACGCCCTTCGAATACTTGGATAAAGGAGTCCATTTAGCAAATTACCTGCTTATCAAGAGCCTTTTGTGGTAGCTGAGAGACGTAAATTACTGTACATGCATTTATAATACAGCTTGAATATGAATGTACTTGTCATTTGACCACTTAGTCCAGTTTCCATTCCATTTAACACAAGATGGGTTTTCTTAAGATGAATCACAGCTCTTCAGACATGCAAAATTTGTGTTCCAGAACGAGAGAAAGTACAGGCTTTCAAGTGCGTTAAAATTCACAGCACAAGTCATTTTGCTTTGGAAATTAACATACTTTAGAGCATCTGAAACAATTCCCAGCAGTTGTTTCTTGCATATTGTGTTGGTTGTATGTGAGATAGCAAATGAGTTAAATTGAGTGTTAAATGTGTGGGATTGTGCACCAAATGATTATAATATTGATTTTTAAAACTTAATCTAATACTTTTTTAATAGTTCATAATACCAACAGCAGTAAGATACAGTGTTTGTTTGAAGTTTAGAGTTTTAAAATTAATGTCAAGAGGATAACACCAGAACGATGTGGAGATGACTTTGGGGAGGATTGGGATGAGGGCTGTTGGTTTGTTAGAGGCTATTTACGGGTTCGCAGTGGGGTGGATTTGGATCTGGAGGTCTTATGAGTGAGCTCCCAAGGGGAAAATGATGAATCTTTTAAATTTTGGTAAGTAGCTTTTTATGTTAAGTTTTACATTTGAGTTTCAGTCAGTACAGTAACACTGCAGTTTTGCCAGTAGGACAAAACCCACTTAGGAGATCTTTAAGCAAGGTTGAAAAAGCTCTCTTAACTGTTAAATATGTTACCTCATTGCTTCTTCAGTCTGTAATAATGGTGTTATTCCTCACTTGGATGTTTATAAAATAAATTCACATCCCTGAGAGGAGGCTGCTGTCTAATTGTGCAGCTTCAGTATTGCCTGTAATATCTAAATGCAAAATTCTTCTCCCTTCGCAAAATATCTACCTCGGCATTCGACGGGCAGGGCCCACCCATCTAGACAGTCGTTTTGGACAGCCTTCAGTCAAAATTGAGTGGCGTAGGGCTTGTTATTAAAACTTTAAAAGGTTTCATTTTATTTCCAATAGAAGAGACTAAGTTGATATTTTATGCAATAAAATGATCGATTTTTAAAACAATGAAAAATTAAACTTGCTCCCCATATAAATAAGCTCATTGTCATAAATAGTTTATATTTCTGTAGACATGAATATAAGAACAAAACACTTTTTAAATTATAGGGCATTTGTTTTTGAGCTGAATCTGGCCTGAATTTAACTTGACTGCTACCTTTTACTTGTATGTTAGGTGCCCCATGAAAAAACTACAAGAAAGTAAGTGATGTAATTTCTCGTCTAGTCTTCTGAGCTATTCAGCTGAACTGCAGGTGGCTGAGTACAGGAGCGATGAACCCACTATTCCCCACTAGCTCCTCCGCCCCTAAGCCCACCCTCAGCATCACCATGGACAAACGTATTGTTGGAGTATAGCAGTCCTCAGCGAGGGTGGGAATGGTGTTGGTCCTGTTCCCATCTCCTTATTTTGCTCCATGGCTGATGAGAGCTCCTGATTTTTAAAAACCCCTTCTGTTCTTCTGCACTTCTCTCTTTCAGGTTTCTTTTTCTTGACCTCATCTAAAGCAGGAAGAAAAAGCCAATTAAACCTTAATGTAATTTTATAAACTAATACTGTTGTAGAATGTTAATAGCTGATACACTGCACCTGTGCAATATAATCAGCATCATTAGTGAGTAATTGAGTAAATGTTGGAATCAAGCGTCAGTGGGAAAGGACTCGTGGGGGAGGGATGTGGACGAGTAACATTTCTGGTGCTTTTAAGTCATTGCCGTACAGAAGGCAGCTTAAGCCCTATGTGGGAATGCGATTTAGGCCACAAGGTCCCATGCTACCTTTGGATAGACATAAAATGATCTGTTCTCCTCACTTCTTTACTCTCGCATGCACACGTGCATCCGTGGAGAAAAGCTCTGGGATGGTTAGAATCGGGTTCTTGTCTAACAATGTCACCTTGACCTTGGACAAATTATTTAAACTCTGTGCCTAAGTGTCTCATCTGTATAATTGGGACGTACCTCAGAAGAGTAGTTGTGAGTGTAGTTGCTTAGTACTGTGCCTGGTATGTAGTAAATGCTCAGCTAATGCAGTAAACACTCAATAAGCATGAGCTACCATTGTCACCATCATTAATCTTATTTTTGTTATTATTTTGATCCACTGGTGGGGAGATCCTCCCTGGCTGACATTCTTGGTTAATAAGAATATTCCAAAGTTAATTATCTGTGTTAACAAGATGTTGTTATCAAGCTTATTTTCTGTAGATTATATTTTTAAAATAGTATACATTTTTGTTTCCTATATGTGCATGTATATTTTTTAAATTCCATTGATTCAGCTTTTTAAACTGTTTTTCCTTTTCCCTGTTTGAGAATCACTGGCTTTAGATTATTTGTAAACTTGGCGTAATTATAAATTATTTATTCAGTAATGAATACTAAATTCATCATGTCTTTTACTGTATGGTTTTTAGTAGACTGTTTAATTATTACCCTTTTCCCATTCTTCTGTCAAAGATAGGCTGTTCTTTCATGGAAGGCTGTTTTGAGAGTGTTATTTTTGTCTAGGTTACATTGCTTTGATTGCTACAAAGCCATGAAGTTTTCTTTAGTAAGGATGATTGTTAAATGCTGAATATTACATTTCCCCCCCCCAATCTACCACTTTATTTACTATAATGATTTTGCTACAGTTGCACATCAGTAAATGGGAAGGATATTCCATAGTTATTCATAATAGTACTTGTAAGTACTATATTTTAAAAACACAAACAAAACTCCATTGGTTATATAGATGCTTCTCCACTTACGATGGGCTGCATCCCAGTAAACTCATTGTAAATTGAAAAGTGTTATTTACTGCCCCTTTAAACCCATTGTAGAGTTGAAAAATCATCAAGTTGGGGGCCATCTGTGTTCATTGGAATTAATGGGCTTTTTTTTCCTTTGAAAAATGAGTGCAAGAAAATAACTACAAGGTACCTAATCGTGTAAAATTAATTTGTCAGTGTGAAAGTTCAATCTTTCAAGTGTGGCTGTTCCTGTGTGGTTGATCCTCTTTGGACTAGAGAGAGAGTTTGTGTTCAAGGAAGAATCACTGATACATCAGAAGTTTTTGATCATTGTGTAATCTTTGACTTAATAAAGACCAGGAAAGTATGAGTGTGGGTAGAAGTTACATATTTTTGGAAACTATTTAATTTTTAAAAGTCTTCCTTACATGCATTTCTCTGAACTTGTCAAGTTTCTGAAATTAATCAGTAAATGTTATCCCTTATGGAACTCATTTTGTCAGTAACATTTGTATTTTCTCCATGACTTAAGAATTTTCTCTGGTCTCTAGTATCTTATGGATAGTCAAATAAATCATTTTTTTTAGATTTCTCATAAAGTATTAATATTTTCTGTAATCTACAATAAATTATTCATAGCATTTTGTGTATAGCCATTTGGTGCTCATATTTAAAAGCTGGTTTTCAGAATCCATTAAAGTCAACACAGGTCATATAAGAAAAACCCTGTCTTCTGCTTCTATTTTAGAGGCTCTAACAACACTAGAAACAGCCTTGAATCTGAAGCAGATCCCTTCTAAGGTAGCCGTGACCCGCCTCATCCAGGCATTTGCCTTGAAGGGTGATGTAGAAGGCATAGAAGAAATTCAGAAGATGGTAAATGGACTTGAAGACTCAATTGGACTTTCAAATATGGTTTTCATCAATAACATTGCTTTGGCACAAATAAAGAAGTGAGTAAATTTTTGAGCTTTCTTTTCCTCTATTGGCCACTGGAGTGAGCATTACCTCAAATACCACCTTTTAAAAATTTTAGGCATCTGGAAACCATGTCATCTACAGAGGAAATTTTGATGCTGTAGTTGCTGATAATTACCTGTTAGGGAAGAATTATACATTGGAAAACATGTTTTATCTTTAGATTAAATCTCAGAATAAACAACACTTTATCAAATTCATAAATCTTGCTCCACAGTCGCTAACTTTTCTCATTCATACATATATATGCCAGGCCTCTTGCTGAAACACATTGTTACAGAACTGGAAAATGATCTCATTTGTTTGTCAGCAATATTTGAGAATAATACTCTACTAGAATATTGTGAGACAGAGGGCCCTGAAAGCGTGTTAATAATACGCATTTCCATACTCCCTACCCTTCTACCCATCCACCCGGTCAGTACACACACTCACTCTAAGGGGAGGCGTTTAGAGTTGATTTTCTTCCCACCGTCTCTAGATTGCTTGTGAGAATCCCTATTTCTTTGAGCAGAGAAACAGTTTATTTTTTTGTTTTTACCTTTTAAAACTATTTCCCCAAATACAACTTCCCTTTAATAAGAAAACGTGATTGTTTTAAATTAGAAGATCAAGGAAATTATTCAGGTAAGAGCTGGATGAATTTTAAAATGTCACCATAAAAACAGTTTTATATGATGTGGAGAACATATTCACTGTGAAATAATTCTCTAACTAAAACCCATAAAAATTTACAATATTTGAATTTACAAGAAAAATTTATTGTAACAGAGGGTATTCATTTTTAATTAGAGAACTCTTATGTTTAATGTAATAATTTCAACATAATATTGATAATTGGATTTAGTATGCCATATCATAACTCTAAAGTATCAATTATAGATTGCTTTAACCAAAAAGATAGTCATAAAGATCATATTTATCACAACTTGTTAAATAAAGCCATATAATTGATATTTTTCAAAGTAAAGTATGAAGATACTTTTTTCTGAGAATTTTAGTATAAATGGAATATTTTCTAAATGTATAATAGCTGACAAAAAGAAGTTGATGTGAGGGTGGGTTAGAGACATGCAAATATACCTTTAAGAATCCTGAGATGTTATATATTATCTTTATGCAGTAGTGACTAGTGGATTAAAGCCACAATTATAGCATTTAAACAAGTTTCATTTTACATCTAAAGAGCTACAAAATTAAATAAAATATTTAAGATTGTTTTGGTATTTTCATTAATTCTATATAGTTGTTTGATCATGTCTCTAGAGCAGTGTTTTAAAATAAGCAACTATTTCAACTGCTGTGAAATAAAATAAGCAACCACTGTAGCATGAACCACCTAGTGATTGCTTTTACTACCCAAATGTGATTGGTTTATGTTACGTAGTGTTTTTTATCTGGTTAATTATAAATGTATTTCTTTTTTTCCCTAGAGTATTTGCATGGGTAGATCTCTCATAAGCTCTCATACTAAAACTACCTATAATAGTAATATAAAAGCAACTATTTCTTTATAATTTATTTTGCTTTATTTTACAGCAATAATATAGATGTTGCGATAGAAAACATTGAAAATATGCTTACTTCAGAGAATCAAACTGTGGACCCCCAGTACTTTGGTTTGTCATACTTATTCAGAAAAGTGATAGAGGAGCAGTTGGAACCCGCAGTTGAAAAGAGTAAGTCGGTCGTTTATGCTAAAGAGCACAGAAGCACGTTTTCTCTCTAGTGAGACTGGACCACATTTCTTGGGTGGGTGAGTTATACTATACACTGTTTTAAAGAAAGATTTTTCTTACCTGTCATTTTTCCAGTAAGCATCATGGCAGAGAGACTGGCGAATCAGTTTGCGGTTTACAAACCTGTTACTGACCTTTTCCTTCAGTATGTGGAAGCGGGCAAGGTGGACGATGCCAGAGCTCTCCTACAGGTAATGGCCTACTCATGGAGCAGTGGAGCTGGCGGCTTGTGAGAAGTCAACTGAGAAATTACTAGATGTAGACGTGGAATACCGGAAATGAAGTGTGGTACTGCTAGCACATTTAAATTCAGTGTGAACCAAGGTTGTATGACAAGGACTGGATTGTAGGTTGTAGGTCACTGGTTTTACAGATGACAAACCAGACGAGAAATGTCTTTAACATTGGGGTTGAGGGGCGACGGGTTTTGCTGAAATGATTTAAAGACAAATGTTTCCTTGCAGATAGGTAACACAAAACAATTCCTTTGATTTCCTACTTTAATTTTTCAAATGCTCTAAATACCGTGTATCGCCATGGCAACACAGTTTGCAAACAAAAAGTAGGAAATATTTGCTTTTCAAGTATAGCTTCTCACTTGAATACTCAAACATTCTCGGTGCCTTATTCAAGGCTTATTAAGAAAAAAGAGTTGAATTTGCTTTCTATTCACTTGTGTGTCACAGACACATTAAATGACAAATGCAGGTCTCTGTGGCCCACACTCTCAGTTAAATTAGCAATCTTCAGGGAAGGAGACAACTGCATTCATGCCATTTTAACAGCACTAAATATTAAGCTACGCCAAGTGCCGACAGAACGGTGGGTGATCGGAGCTGCCACTGGCAATGTACACAAACAGGCACCGCTGGGGAGCCCCATCCCAGCAGGTGGCAGTCAAACAGTCACCGTGATCCCGCCAACGGCTGTGTTTGTGTAGACTCCCTGTGTCAAATTGAGGCCTGGGACCAATTTCTGATAGTAAATAGTATTATATTCAGTTACATTTTTACCAGCTGCGAAATACCTTAAGTAGTAGAGAGGGAAGGTACAACTCTACCCATTTGCTTGAGCTCCAGTTTTGATCCTGAAAGTTAATCTAATTTGAAAGTAGAATCCAAGCCATTTTTAAAAGGAATCCCTAAAAATTTTTCTCTGGGTTAATAGTTTTGTAAAATTATAAATTGACCCTACTTCTATAGCCTTTTACTTTTGTTCCTGGTTAGAGAGAAATTCTAGTTAATTGGGAATTTTCTTGTTTGGTTTGTTTTGTTTACTTTTCTTTCTTTCTTTTTTAAAGGAAAAGGCATTTATGATAGGGATTTCAGAAATCTTTTCATTGTTTATTTTGCTGCCTTTAGTATTTAAAGTTCTATATTTTTTTTTTTTTTTTTTGAGACAGAGTCTCACTCACTCTGTTGCCCGGGCTAGAGTACCGTGGCGTCAGCCTAGCTCACAGCAACCTCGAACTCCTGGGCTCAAGCGATCTTCCTGCCTCAGTCTCCCGAGTAGCTGGGACTGCAGGCATGCGCCACCACGCCTGGCTAATTTTTTTATATATATATATTTTTAGTTGTCCAGCTAATTTCTTTCTATTTTTTTTTTTGGTAGAGACGGGGTCTCGTTTTTGCTCAGAGCTGGTCTCGAACTCCTGACCTTGAGCGATCCGCCCGCCTCAGCCTCCCAGAGTGCTAGGATTACAGGCATGAGCCACCACACCCGACCAAGTTCTATCTTGAATATACTCTTGTGCTTTATCTTCATGTACACCTACTAGGGGTATAAGCATATAAATATCTAATTATATAATACATGTGATGGTATTAGTTCCATTTTAACACATCTTTTTGATAGTTCTTTAGAAAGTGGCACTTGATACTTCATCTGCCGGCTTGTTCTGAGCTATAATCGTCAGGGCTCTTCTTAGAGCTCACAATTGACAGCATCCTGGGTGGGAGACAGCAGGAATGGTGCCTGCTGCCCTGAGAGCTGCATTTACCCACAGTGGCCTCACCAAAGGGCTCTCGACGGCAGCTGAGTGCTGATGCAACAGCAGCAGTCTTTTCGTTTACCATCCCTTCAACATACTGGGGTTTCAGATGATAAACCCTTTACCCATCCTTTACCTGCTTGTCAAACAGTAAAAGTAATTCTTGCTGTAGTGAAGAGTACTTTATTCACAGGTGTCGAAAACATCAGTTTATAACGTAAATGTCCCCAAAAGTTCTTTTTATATTATTCGTTTTAGAATTGACAGTGTTTTAAGCTTTGAAAGAGCAATGTGCTTTTAGAAACTTAAGAGAATGACATCTATGATGAGTGTAAACTAAAATATTGTCTTGCCATATTTGATTTTACTATAGCATCTAAGATTGGATAGACACTTGATTTATCTGGTCTGTCATATAAACTTTTTTTTTTGAGTTTAACTTTTGTCTCTTTCTCAAGCACTGACTGTCTGTTGCAATGAAAGCCTTTTATAAAATAGAGAGATTGAAATCAGTCCTTTTGTATGCATAAGTGTAGGTAATTATACTTTAAAGAGAACTTGCTTTGTACATTTTAATTTTTATAAAGAAACGAGCAGTTATCTCCCTGACACCTTATTAAATGTATAATTAACCTTATGATCCCTAGCTCACTTGTGAATGCTTGGCAGTATAATTGGAGAGGAATAGTGTTTCTTTTTTTCCTCTTTCTTTGCAGTCCTAAACCTTATTCTGTGGTTGTTGAAGCATTAGTTTAATTTTTCCCTTTTCTTTTTAAACAAACTTTATACTTGTAATGCCAAGGACAGCATTCACTAGAGCTTGGCATAGCTTGTACTTGTTTTCTTTTTTCTGCCTTGAAAAATAATGGTCAACTATTAGGCCTTCCAACTGGTAATAATACACTACTGCATTATTGTGAACTTTCTTAATTAGAAATATTCACCTCGAACTGCTCGTTTATCAAAAACCTTCACTTACTGAATAATGCTTTAATTTTTAGAGATGTGGTGCAATTGCTGAACAAATCCCAATTTTCGAGGTGTTCCTTGTTAGGAATTCTCGGAAACCAGGAAAGGTACTGTGCTTTACTTGCTAACAAATCAATGATGTAAGTGTCTTGCTCAAAGGTTTTAAGTTTAATAAGAGCTTGTTGGTTCAGAAGCTTATCTGAAAACGCTATAGATATTGAAGACTTTGCTTGTCTATACTTGTTTACTTTTTCATGATGTTGATACAAAGTCAGTTTGGGCTCTTAATTGTACTAGAAATGCAAAACAAGTTCATGCAGTGGAGAGTTATGCATTGACAGCCCCAGGAAAAGGGCCATTAGAAATGGAAGATGAAAGTCATGTTGCTTAGGTCACCTTGGTACATTTAGCGGTGCAGAAACACTACCCAGGAAGACTTAACACTGCAGAGTGTCTCCCATCGGGTGGCTACTTTTGACCATTTATCAGGTATAAACCATCAGGTAGATGAGCCACTTGGTTTTAAAATTGGCATATACCACAAATTAATGTTCTTATTTGTACAGTTATTTTTATTTATTCTTATTTATTATACTTATACTATAAAAGGGTAGATCGTTTCTGAGCCTTTTGGCTAAGATCAAGTGTATAAAAGGGGTAGGTAGGTAGGTGTTCAACAGACCCAAAATCTATTTTGGATGTTTAACAAAAAGAATAAAAGCATATTTCAAAAAAAATTTTTTTTTAGATTTGATTTTACCCGTTGAGCACCAGAAACTGTATTCTTAGTTTATTTGGGTACTTCCTGATGTTTCAAACCAAGTACCAACTGTAAGGCTTGTTTAATTTGAAATATGTAAGTGTTTCCAGTCTGGGAGGTCTAGTTTTCCTTGATTTCCACACACTTACCTTACATATACACGCACTTTATTTTTATTTTTTAAGAAGCAGCTTCTAGCTCTGTCACCCCGGCTGGAGCGCAATGGCCCAATCATAGCTCACTGTAACCTTGAACTCCTGGGTTCAAGTGACTCTCCTGCCTCAGTCTCCCAGAGTGCTGGGATTACAGGCGTGAGCCACCATGTCTGGCATACACACTTTTAAAAAATTTATCAAATCGTACTTTTTATCTCTGACTCAGGTATTTATTTACTACAAATAACGTTTAGAAAATATTTAGTTATCTTTTTTTTTTTCAGTGAGGATTTTTTAAAAAAAAATTATGATTAAAAAGTACAAGAAATCTAAAAAGCACTTGTCAGTCACGTGTGGGACTGTGCCAAGTTCCTACTGCCTTGCTCAGGAGATGGGATGGGAAATGTGTGGTAACATATCTGCTTAGAACATTCCTCGTAGGAGACTTTAAAATGCAAGAAGTTCTAGAAGAATGCAGGTGTAGATGTGTATTGACTGAATAAACTTGCTCAAAAGGGAGTTAGGATTTTAAAAATGCCAGTTACAGTGTACTGTTGTTTGACAGTAGAATAGTTAAGTCAGATTTAGTTTGTCTGAGTGAATTGGCAAGAGGGCATAAATGTATATAAATGCATCGTTGACTTATCCCACAATACCGGAGTGGGTCTGGAAGTATTCAGTGGATATTCATTAGGATATGGCAGTTTTGTATTCACTATGGGAAATAAAACCATAGTTATGTCCACATATCCCTGGGAACAATCAAGTAAAAATTCCAGTGAGCTCCTGGAAATGCTCTATTTATATATAAAGTGGGGAAAACTTGAGAATTCTTCACATTTCATTAATACATTTTGGCACCTAAAGATACGGTTGTTATCTTGTCTGCCCTTGGGATCTCATAAGTTCTTGGTATGGTTCCCCATTGACAAAAGAGGCAATCTTTATCATGTGCTAGAAAAATATTCATAGAAATGTAAAGGAATTGCATTAACTTGTGAAAATGCTGGTTTGTTTTGGCTGTAAATTATTGAATCAACTGAAGGGAAAATAGTCCATTAAATTGAATAGGCAGTTCTGTTGTAATTATTTTCAGGACTTTTCTATATAATGTTATATATCAGTGTTCTGTTTCACTGTTGTTTTGAGTTTTTGGTAACGTGACCTCTATTTCATTTCCTAGGCACCAACTCTGCAATCTTTGTTAGGACTGATTCCTGAATTGGCTGACAAGGAAGCAGCATATACCTCCCTCATGAAAAGCTATGGTAATAAGTTTAATATGACTATATTATTTACGTGATTTAAATATTTATAGTCAACTAAGTCTTAGTCTATAGCTCAAGGCAATAATCCTAAACATCAGATAATTACTTATGATATAAATAATTCACTTAGTTCTAGAATATATCTTAAAACTTTATATAAGAAAAATATGGGATAGGCACTGTGGCTTACGCCTGTAATCCCAGCACTTTGGAAGGCCAAGGCCAGGAGGACTGCTTGAGGCTAGGAGTTTGAGACCAGGCTGAGCAACATAGTGAGACTCCGTCTCTACCAAAAATGAAAAAGTGGCCGGGCCTGGCGGCACTGCCTGAGCAGTCCCAGCTACTCAGGAGGCTGAGGCGGAAGAATTGCTCAGGCCCAGGAGTTTGAGGCTGCTGTGCGCTATGATCGCATGACCACCACTGCACTCTAGCCTAGGTGACAGAGCAAGACCCTGTGTCTTGAAAAAAAGAAACACATGAAAGGATTCATATAATTTTAATATTAAAAAGTATCACCGAGTATCTTCAGAGCAATCCAGGTATATTGAGTATGGTCTCAGGCTCCTGGAAAGACGGGGAAGTTCTCCTGTAGTACTTACTAGAAACTAATTCAGTCTCCCCAAGGGCCTGCCACCTGAAATGTGGCTTGAAGTAGGCATATATTTGAGACAGTCACTTGACTTGCCTTCTTGCTCTTTTAGTACCCTTTCCACCTACTCCTTTGAAATGATAGATGCCTTGATTAGAAAGTAACCCAAAGTTTTACCTTAAGTCCCAGTTGGAATTCTGGTCTTTTAACCAGTCTGTTCCCTGATCATCAATCATATATGAAAGGAAGTCAATCTAAAGTGTCCTCAGTAATCAAGATAAATGTTAGCATTTCTAAGTCGTGATTATCTATTCACCTGCCACCTACTGATTGCTTACCGCAGGAATGGGCTAAATAAAGAATTGCTTCACTGATTTTATTTTTGGCTGGACAGCAGACTCAGGAATCAGAATTAGTAAGTTGGTTCTCTATTTTTCCACCCTTATGAGGGGAACGTGGCTGTATTTCAGAATACAGCTATGATCACAGAACTTCTCAAATTTCCAATCACTAAATACAAGCATACCTTGGAAGTATTGTGTGTTTGAAATGTAACGAGTAAAGTGAGTCACATGAATTTTTCTGGTTTCCGAGGGCATGTGTAAGTTGTGTTTACGCTATACTGTAGTCTGTTAAGTGTGCAATAGCATTATGTCTAAGAAATATGCACACCTTAATTTAAAAATACTTTATTGCTTAAAAAAGATCAACAATCATCTCAGCCTTCAGCAAGCCGTAATCTTTCTGCTGGTAGAGATTATTGCCTGGATGTTGATGCCTGCTGACTGATGAGGGTGGCTGTTAAAAGTTGAGCTGGTTATGGCAGTTTCTTAAAATAAGACAACAATGAAGTTTGCTGCATTGATGAACTCTTCCTTTCATGAAAGGTTTCTCTGTAGCATGCGGTGCTGTTTGACAGCATTTTACCCACAGTAGAACTTCTTTGAAAATTGGACTCGATCCTCTCAAATCTTGCCACTGCTTTATCAGCTAAGTGTATGTAATATTCTAAATCCTTTGTTATCATCTCAACAGTGTTCACAGCATCCTCACCAGGAGTACACTTCATCTCAAGAAACCACTTTCTTTGCTCATCCATAAAAAGCAATTCCTCATCTGTTAAAGTTTTGTCATGAGATTGTAGCAATTGAGTCACATCTTCCGGCCCCACTTGTAATTCCAGTTCTTCTGCTGTTTCCACCACTTCACCTCCTCCACTGAAGACTTGTACTCCTCTAACTCATCCATGAGGATTGGAATCAATTTCTTCTGAACTCCTATTTGTGTTGACATTTTGACCTCTGCCCATGAATCACAAATATTCTTAAAGGAATCTAGAATGGTGAATCCTTTCCAGAAAGTTTTCAATTTACTGTGCCCAGATCCATCAGAGAAATCACTATCTGTGGCATCTTTAGCCTTATGAAATGTATTTCTTCATTAATAAGGCTTGAAAGGCAAAATTACTCCTTGATCCATGGGCTGCAGAATAGATCTTATGTCAGCAGGTGTGAAAACCACATTAATGTCCTCGTACATCTGCATCAGAGCTCTTGGGTGACCAGAGCAATAATATTTTGAAAGGAATCCTTTTTCCTGAACAGTGGATCTCAACAGTGGGCTTAAAATATTTAGTAAACCGTGCTATAAACAGATGTGCTGTCATCTAGGCTTTGTTGTTCCATTTATAGAGCATAGGCAGAGTAAATTTAGCATAATTAGGATTTTCAGAATGGTAAATGAGCATTGGCTTCAATTTAAAGTCACCAGCTCCGTTAGCCCTTAACAAGAGAGTCAGCCTGTCTTTGAATCTTTGAAGCCAGGCATTGACTTCTCTCTAGCTATGGAAGTCCTAGATGGTATCTTCTTCCAATAGAAGGCTGTTTCTTCTACACTGAAAATCTGTTGTTTGGTGTAGCCACCTTCATCTGTGATCTTAACTAGATCTTCTGGATACCTTGCTGCAACTCCTACATCAGCACTTGCTGCTAAACCTTGCACTTTTATGTTATGGAGACAGCTTTTCTTTTTTTATTTTCTTTTTGAGACAGAGTCTTGCTCTGTTGCCTAGGCTAGAGTGCCATAGCGTCAGGCTGGCTCACAGCAACCTCAAACTCCTGGGCTAAGGCAAGCCTTCTGCCTCCACCTCCCGAGTAGCTGGGACTACAGGCATGCGTCAGCTAATTTCTTTCTATTTTTAGTAGAGATGAGGTCTCACTCTTGCTCAGGCTAATCTTGAACTCCTGACCTTGAGCAATCCTCCCACCTTGGCCTCCCAGAGTGCTAGGATTACAGGCATGAGCCACTGCGCCCGGCCAGGAGACAGCTTTTCTTAAACCTCGGGAACCAACCTCTGCTAGCTTCAGACTGCAGCTTCCTTACCTCTCTCAGCCTTCATAGAATTGAAGAGAGTTAGGGCCTTGCTCTGGATTAGGCTTAGGCATAAGAGAATATTGTGGCTGGTCTAATCTTCTATCGAGACACTAAAACTTTCTCCACATCAACAATAAGGCTAATTCGCTTTCTTATTGTTTGTGTTTTCACTGGAGTAGCACTTTTAATTTCCTTCAATAACTTTTCCTCTGCATTCACAGCTTGGCTGACAGTTTGGCACAAGAGGCCTAGCTCTCGGCCTGTCTTGGCTTTCAACATGCCTTCCTCACTGAGCATCGTCATTTCTAGCTTTTGGTTTCAAGTGAGAGACTTGTGACTTCCATTCACTTGAATACTTAGAGGCCCTTGTAGGGTTATTAATTAGCCTAATTTCAATATTGTTGTCTCAAAGAATAGGGAGGCCCAAGGAGAGAAAGAGAGGCGTCAGTGGAGCAGTCAGAACACACACATTTCTCAGTTACGTTTGCCATCTTACATGGGGAGGGTTCATGGCGCTCCAGCAGTTACATTAGTAACATAAAGATTACTGGTCACAGATCACCATAACATATAATAATGATGAAAAAGTTTGAAATGTGGTAAGAATTATCAAAATGTGACACAGAGACGCAAAGTGAGCACATTGTTGGGAAAATGGCACCGATAGACTTGTTCCACACGGGGTTGCCACAAACCTTTAATTTGTAAAAAATGCTGTATCTGTAAAGGACAATAAAGCTGAGGTGTTCCTGTCACATGAAATAGTGTCAAATGCATAAAACTATACATGTTACTACTAAATTAGGTAACCCAGCTTGGGGGAGGAGAGTGGGAGATCAGGAAGTAAAGAAAGGTAAAGTGCTAGAGTTTTCTGAGCAGCTTCCTTAGAAGAAGGTAGAGCTGGGGCCCTTGACAGTCATAGGGAAAGGGTCCAGGAGCTTAGGGAGGGCAGCAAAGGATTTCCTCAGGAAATGGACTTCACCCAAACAGCAACGTGGAGTTCCAGCTCCACTAAACGCTGGCATGTCATTCACCTTCCTTCCCTTTTGGAAGAGCCTTTAATTGATCACTAAACATCTCACGTCTGTCCTAGGTGTTCCCATGCTGCTGCTGGAGTTGGGATTGGTTAACCAGTGTTGGTATAGGGTGGGTTTATGTGGTGCTTAGATGTTAAGAATCTAATGCAAAATTATAAAGAGTTGAATTACCAACAGTAATTGTTAGCAGAGCCCTTATAATTACAGTAAACTTAAAAATTTCTGTGAATCAGCTGCATATGGAGAGCCAGCTAAACCTAGCTCCTGGGCTACTTCATCATTCATTTAAGTGAAATATTAGTGTAACTTGTTAATATCTCCTTATAGTTTTTTGGTTTTGTTTTTTATTTGTTTTGGTTTTTTCCTCTTCTTTTTTGAATCAGGGTCTCACTCTATCACCCAGGCTAGAGTGCAGCGACACAATCATAGCTCGCTGTGATCTTGAATTCCTGGGCTCAAGCGATCCTCCTGCCTCAGCCTCCTGAGTAGCTGGGACTACAGGCACACGCCACCACACCAGGCTAATTTTTTAATTGTTTTGTAGAGATGGGATCTCGCTGTGTTGCCCAGGCTGGGCCTCAAGGGATCCTCCTGCCTCAGCCTCCTTATAGATTTTTTCTTTTTGTTTTTCTTTTTTTTGTTTTGTTTTGGTCATTATGGCTAACTATATTCTCCAGATTTGCTTATTTTACAATAAGAAAATGTAATAAAGGTTTTTTGGTGTTGTTTAGCTGCTGATCTTGATAGTGATGTGGATTTCCACATAATTTACATGCCCCTCACACGACAGTCCCTGGATTATTAGCTTGATTTCAGAGTGTGGTTTTAGGCAGAAGAGGGTTGAGTGTTGTGTGTGTATTACTTTACGATTGAGGACTTCAGTTTGTGATCACTTTATGATACATCTTCAAAATAATGTAATAACCTAAGTGCATTGCATCATTAATATTACCTTAAAGGCCTTTAAATATAGCTATATGGGTCATTTTCCTTCTTCAAAGTGAATGAGGCTGAATGAGGGGCGTGGAGCAGGGGCAGGGGAGCTTGTAGATCTGGCATGGCTTCTCACTGAAGGTGGTTACATACTCGTTCGCTGTGGGATAAAGGGATCCAGGAGTCCCTGAGTGGCTGAGTGTTTGGGGGAAAAGAGGAAGATAGGTTGTCTTTATCTATGATCAATACCTTTTTCTTCTTTAACTTTGTCAGCCTTGGACAAAGATGTCACATCTGCTAAAGCGCTGTATGAACATTTGACTGCAAAGAATGTAAAATTGAATGACCTGTGTCTAAAGCGTTATGCATGCTTGCTGAAGAATGCTGGAGAGCCTGTCCCTTTCCCTGAGCCCCCTGTGAGTATTTCTTAATTAAGGGGAAAAATACCTCTACAGATTTACGTATGCTTCATAATAATGTTTTTTAAACAGTGTTTAAAAAAATAAGTTGGAGACTTAATTACATGAGGATTAGATCTCTGTGAAGATCCCCCAGGGGAGGGCTGGAGGGACTGAGCAGCCTTGGCTGTGGCTGTGGGAGAACATAGCTCTCTGGGGCTGAAGTCGAAAATACAAAGTCTGTCTCAGATCTTCAGCTACAGGTATAAATTCATCAAATGTCCTTGGGGTAGTTCTCTCATCATTTCAACTTGAAACAGGCCTGTATTGCAATAGCTGAGCGTATTATGTCACCGTTAATTACTTGTTCGATTTAAGTAAATTGTTTTTTATTTCTTCATGGAAGAAATTTTATTTTCTTTAATACAAGAAATCACATACGCAGAGTTCCTTTTTATTTTGTCATTGAACTGAAAGTCACTGCACCAGTGACTCACCAGGTTGAGATGTTTATTTGAAACATCTCAACCTTCCACACGCATGCACATGCACATGCACACAGCAGAGGCCCCTGCCACTAGCTTTAACTCTGAACTAGGGGCCATTGGGCTTGTGATTTCATGAAACAAGAAGTACTGAAGTTTGAAGGGTGGTGTCTGACATGGGCCCAGCAGTCGTAGCTACCATTTTGTAGTCTTTTATGATTTTTAAGTTTTGTACTATCACCTCTTGCTGATAACATTATCTGTAACTTCCCTCCCTCTTTTTCTCCTTAACAGGAAAGCTTTGAATTTTATGCAAAGCAGCTAAAAGAATCAAAGGAAAACTCTTTGTGAAATAAGTAAGCACTACTGGGTTTTGTGTGTATTTGTGATTCTTTGTCTATATGTTATTTTTAAATGTATTTGAGAGGAAAAATAAATAAATGAAAAATTCCTTTGTTTATGTATTTTTATTTATAATATGTGTCCAGCATCTTACAATAACTGCGTACACTTGGTTACTGGACTTTTTTGATTTTTTCTATGACATAAATCCATAGCATTTTCTTTGCTTTTCATTTCCTTTTTTTTGTAGAGACAGGGGTGTCGCTGCGTTGCCCAGGCTGTTCTCGAATTCCTGGCCTCCCAAGCAATCCTCCCACCTCAGCCTCCCAAAGTGCTGGGATTATAGGCATAAGCCACTGCAATCCAGCCTATAGCATCTTCTTTAATGCTTATGATGTATGAAGCCATAATTTTTCAGGTTTCTTCTACCAATTACTCTTCAATTTCCCTGCTCTGTTTCATATATTATTTTCATTAAAATGTTAATTCCTTTATTTAAGACTTGCTTGTTAGTATAGATCTGAAAAATTTTGGAGCTAGATAAATGATGCTCAGTGAGCTTTCTAATGCTTAATGTTCTGTAACAATCCCTTACGTGTGTGAAGTCCTGTGTAATTTTCTAATTTTGTAAAATGTTGGCACTAAGAGTCATCCAATCCAGCCGCTGTCTTCCAGTAAGAAACAGAGACCCGAAAGATTGGCTTGCGCTTGGTCAGGGTGCCATTAGCCAGTGTCTGGGGGCTCCTCCGCGTGCTTTCCCTTTCCCGTCTGCCTTGCCTGCGTCCTGTGCCTCTGTTCATGACTTGTGAAGTAAGGGGGTGCGTTTCCTCCCATTTTGGTTTCGGGACTTTGTCAGCACAAGATATATCCCATACCGGGCTTGTTACTTTATACTCACATCCCAAAAATGTGTGATTTCATCTATGAAAGGGTGAAATCATGAAAAGGGTTCGTATCGAATTTTAGAAAAATGCAAGTTATCCCCATATTGGCTCTCACACCTGTTAATAACTACATTGTAAGTAGTTACTTTAAAAAAATAAGATAGACAGTCAAGATAGTTTACCATTATTACTAAGGTGTTTTAATATGGAATATTGACCTATTTGAGGATGAGGTAATTGATTACCCAAAATGTTAAAAATGTTTTATTTGAGAATTATCTCCATTTGTGGGTATTCGTTGTCCATTTGAATTTGGTGACTGCCTATTCTAGTTTCAGTGCCAAGTCGGTTTCCACTTATTGTTACACGAAGGGGAGACCTTGCCTTGGGGAAGCAAGCAGGCCTCTGGCCAGTGGGGCTGTTATCCTCCTGCATCCAGCGCCTGCCTGCAAATGGCGTGGGAGGGAAGGTCGATGGAGGGAACAAGATTGAAAGCTGTCACATGAGCCATGCTTTACTTTCACTGTTCTGTAGAGTTAGACTTCAGGAAGAGGAGGTTTGGCCAGTGCTGCATCCCAGCCTACAGGATGCAGTGAAGCTTTCTTGTGCACTGCCCAGGTGTAGGACTCGTGCGTATTACAGTTTTGCTGTTGTCTGATTTGCTGGGAGCCTCACCCTTGCGCACCTGTCTTTACTGATTCCACTGAAGCACGCCTTATTTTTTGCAGTCATGCTAACCATAAGTTAAGTGAGCTAAGTTTTATTGACATTGATTAAAATAGGTCTCTAAGGTGAGGCATCACCTTGGGACATAATCTGGACTTCGTAGTCATCTTTGGGGAAACTGGAAGTCCAGTCTCATTTGCATGAAGTGACTCCAAACAGGCCCTGTATGTGGACTCATAAAACATCGGTATGGTACAGAGGAAATAGGTTCAACCCCCTCATTTAGCTTTCTAAACAGCAAGCAGGAGCCATTAAAATATGTGTTAAGGCCGGGCGCGGTGGCTCACGCCTGTAATCCTAGCACTCTGGAAGGCCGAGGCGGCTGGATCACTCAAGGTCAGGAGTTCGACACCAGCCTGAGCAAAAGCGAGACCCCGTCTCTACTAAAAAATAGAAAGAAATGATCTGGACAACTAAAAATATATATATAGAAAAAATTAGCCGGGCATAGTGATGCATGCCTGTAGTCCCAGCTACTCAGGAGGCTGAGGCAGAAGGATCGCTTGAGCCCAGGAGTTTGAGGTTGCTGTGAGCTAGGATGACACCACAGCATTCTAGCCCAGGCAACAGAGTGAGACTCTTGTCTCAAAAAAAAAAAAAAAATATATGTTAACAAAGGACTTTGGTCAAATATCTTTAGCACTGTATGGGTTCCCCTTCCGAATGTAAATATTTAAAGTGTAATAATTGTATATTCTAGGTGAGTTTATGAATGCTTTCTAAATATCTAAGAGCTAAATTGAAATAAATAGAAATATAGAGCAAATAAAATTATAGCAGTTCTCCATAATACATTTAGACTCATAAACAAACAGCTAACTCTGAAAAGAAAACGTGTCATTGTAAACTTTGGGAAAGAATATTTTATATAATTAATGTTTATGTATTTGAACCTAATGTAATTTTAAGGTGAAATGCTTTGAATAAAGTGTACTCCAAGTATCTGTGGGCTTCCTTGTTTTTATCTTACCAAATGTTTGCAGGAGCGCTTCAAGCCATTTCAAAAGACTTCAGTTTTAAAATTTTAAATTAAAAGAGTGTGGTAACCTCTTTTGTGGCCAGAATTTCCTTGTCAAATGGCTTACGGTTTGTGTGGAGAACCAACGAAGTCACAGCTTGTCTGTTTTAAGGCCAAGCAGGTATTTGAGAACTGGGGGACAAAGTTGACAAGAATTAGAAGATGGAGTTTGGGTGTGTGTTAAATCGACACTCAAAATGAAGGGGGTCTTACCTTGCGTTAGGTGTCAGCGCGCATTTCACAGCTCTGTGGATGGCCGGGATCCATCCACTCCACACACAGGCCGTCTGCGGCACCGTCGCCCTTTTTCACGAGTGCTCACTGAGGTCCCCATCAACATTACCTCTCTTTCGCTTTTTTGGGCCCCTCACCCCCACCTGTCACACTAATTGTTCCCTCTCCAGGGCTCCCACAACCACTTCCTCAGAGAAGGTGTCACAGATTGTCTTCCACACAGATCGTGAACTCCTGAAGGACTGGTTCTTGGTCTCATTGTATCCCCAGCCCTAGTATAATCCTGGCTGCAGGCTCACAATAAATCTAGTTGTCTGGTGGTGGGTTCCATGTGCTTAACACCGAGCACCTACTACCATGCGTCAGGCACGCCTCTTGCCCTATATTCGTGGAGAGAAAACAGGCTTACAGGAGTGAATCTGCCCCGGATCACAGTGGTAAGTAACCTGGCTAGGATTCCGACTAAAGTCATTTACTTTGGGGAGAATACAAAACTGAAACAATCCAGGTTAAAGTCAGTTAAAAATCTAGTTAAAAGTCACTGGAAACTGAACTGCAAGAATATTTTATTTAAAAAAAAAAACCTTTCACATTAATACAAGTGTTCCCAGTTTCTGGACACCTTACACTGTCAGGATATTTTCTTCCATTTAATCAAATACCCAGTGCCTGGCATAATTGCTGAGTTTATGTATTCCAATAAATTATTAAGTAAGCTTTATATATTGCAAATTGTTCTTCCCAGTACAATTTATTTCTCAAGTCTACAATGTATGCACTCTGCACACCTTTTCTCACGTCTTTGAGCACAATTTTCGTATCTTTGTCATTCTGATAAACCAATATTTGTAGAATTTCTATAAATAAAAGCAACATTCCTGAAATATGACCGAACTAATAGCTACGGGGGGTACAAAATCACATAATTTATCGCTTTGCTGTTGTACAATCATGCATGGGACTGTTTCCATTAGAAATGTATCCTTCTTTCAGGCCTGTAGATTTACAAAGCCCACATTATGCAGCCTCTACAAATAAAATGACTGCATTAGCAAATCAAAAATAAGCACTTAAAAAAAAAAAAACACTTATCTTTTTCTTTTTTGCATGAAGGAAAAAAACATCAAGTCCAGATAGAGCAAAAGCATGTAACCAACTTCAGACTTACTTCTCTGGCACATTTGTTGGTACAGTGGTTGGCTAAGAGATCCAGCCTGGCCCCTGGAAGTACACTTGGTTGTGAAGTTCTCATTATTTACTTGTATGTGTCTGTTTCCTCCCCCAGGACGTGAGCTCTTACAGCATTCTGCAGAGCTGCCAGTTAGAGTCCAGTAGGCGCCCAGTAAGCATCATTGACTGAATCCATGGGTACATTTTGTCCTTCCCCTTTTCCAAGTCCTGTTCTTTCTGACATGTATGGTTTGTGTGCATTGAAGGATTTCCTCCCACACGCTGGTCTTCATGCAGGATTTCCAGTTATTAACTCTGCATAGCTTAGAGTTATGACAGTGGGGTTGAGTTCTTCAAAACCCAAGTGTCCACATAAAAATGTGCAAGTTTACTGTCAGGAGGAGGAGACCTGTCAAATGTGTGATAAAAGACAATCTCAAGCTGAGCCCAAGCATAGCGCAAGGATTCTGTGCAGTAGTGGAATCAACAAAAATAAAGAGCTTCATTTTTAGCATGGGACAGTAGAGCTTATTAGCAGTTTGGGGAAACAAAAATACAGTTTTACAAAAGACAAGACAATCACACAAACAATAAATGTGAGCACTATTAAAGAGAAGTGTTACTGAATTGCTATGTGTTTGAAAAATCTCAACCCACTGCTTAAACATTGTTTTAATTATTAGCTGCTAACACCACGTGTGCTGCTGTTCCCAGCTCCCCAGCAGAAAATGGGCTGCGCTCCATCTGCCTGCCTGCCCACGCTGCCTCAGGCACAGCCCATGTCACAGGGGCGCATGCTAATCGCTCTATACCCAGGCCACGGTAAGTGAAGACCCAATCATTACCAAGTACGAATGACACATGACTTGAGATTTAAATTACCTAGTTCAGACTATTTGCAAATAAGGATATTTCTTGCCTTACAGGCATGAGCATCGGCTATATTTTCCAAATAAGCATAGGTCAACCAACAAAATGCTTCATCACTTTCCCTGCATTCCAGTCCCTTGCTCTCTTCTTCCAAGCCTGTTTGGTGCTTCAGACCCCTGGGCAAGTCGGGCCAAAGCAAAGTGGTTTGCAGGCTGTGCTAAGCTCTTCTTTAAGCGACTAATTTGAGTCTCAGTAGAACCACTGGCCCCAGGTCTGTTAACACTTGAATTTGTCATTTGAGAACAAGACAAGACTTGAAGAGAAGTGGAAGGAAAGAAAACAAAAACAAGTGTGAGATGTAAGTCTGCAGACTGGCTTAACCCAGGGCAAGATTATGTCTTACATACTCTATAGGAACAAGAACAGTTTTTTAAAAATCACATCAGGAAGTATTTGAGTCAATATAAGTAATTATCCTCTGTTTAATTAAAATTCCCCATCAATAGCATAACTTGAAATTGGAGGGCTTAAAATGCAAATTTCAGAACCTTTACCTTTTGATCAAGGGTCTGCAAACTACAGCCTCAGGCTAAATCCAGCAAGCTGCCTGTGTTTGCAAATAATATTTTATTGGAACACAGCCACACCACTCGTACTTTACTGTTGTCTGTGGCTGCTTTTACTGTTGTCTGTAACAGCAGAGTTAAGTAATTTCAACAAAACCTATAAGGCCCTCAAAGCCTAAAATATTTACTGTCTGACTCTTAACAGGGACAGTTTGCAACCCATGCTTTTGGTAAGTACAAACAAGCGAATCCCTATCCTTCTACAGGTCGGATGGGGCTCACTGAACAACATGCATGCCCCTGGAGCCTTGGTTTGTTTCCCTGGCCTCACGCACCTTGGAGGACGTTTTAAACAAATAGACCCGTGGAATCAGACTCTCTAGGCGTGGGTCCACATTGGCCTTTGCTGAAGCTCCTGTGTGGGCAACCAGGGTGGAGAACCACTACTTTAGGAGAAAACACAAAGAAATGGCAGCTCCTGGGGTTTCTCCATCTCTCCTGCCTTTGCACTTTGCCCGTTGCCCTCTGCAGCCCAGCACCAAGAGCTCACTGAGTTATCAAAGCCTTCTGTGGACTGAGTGGTGAGCTCTCAAAGTCAGGTGATGTATCTTAATGGCTGTCAACCTCACGGTACATCAGAATCCCTTGGGGAGTTTAAAAACAGAACAAACCCAACATCCTCTTCCTCCTGCCCCCTTCTCCTTCATTCAAGCCTAAAGCCATTAAGTGACCACAGTGGGCAGGGGGAGCTGTGGTGGCCAGACCAGGGTGAGGGGGGCAGCTGTGCTGATGCAGGGACAGCCTGGCATGAAAGTTAGAGCCCAAGGAGGGTGAGCAGGATGGCCACACCAGGGAAGGCATGGTGGCGTAGATGGGAGATTGGTTACGTGCAGGGGATTAATCAAATGATATGCGGTAAGGATATTGGAAGGATAATTGGAGGGAAGCATTACAAATATGAAAAGGGAGAAACTAGACTCAACTCTGTGGTACTGGATTGGAATTGTATGTTATCAATGTAAACTGACATACATTGCTGGGTGTGTGTGTGTGTGCATATTCCCGAACTCTGTTCACTGAGAGGGGGTGGGAGCAGAGAAGCCCCAACAGCATTGAGCATACTTATCACTTAGATCTTGGCTTTTAAATACCATCATCCACTAAAAGGAACCAAGATTCTTTAGAGAAATGTCTGATTCCAGGGCTGGGGTAGGAAAATGCAAGATGAAAATAAAAGTGTCAGAAAGTCCTCAATGATGGGGACATGTCAAAAGGATGCAGAACCCAGCTTGAAGGGACTACCACTGGCCAAATCAGGACAAACTGAGCGTCAAAATTAATAATGATAGTAAAGGATTTTAAACCATGATTAAAATAGAAAACTACAAGTCTATATTGATAGAAATCCAAAAGGAATAAATGGAAAGTTTTGTGAGAAACAGGCAATTTACATAGTTTCAAAGTTATCTACTTACAAAATACTTATTAATTACAAAAGGAGGGGAAATAGTAACTCGACTATGGAGAAGCCTGGCAGACACCCTTTTAATCAAGTGATCTATCTGTGTGAACACTGTCAGTGTGGGACAGGTGGAAATCGTGAGCCACCTGATAGGAGGCACTGCGAATGTGCAGGACCTGAATTTAATCATGAAAAACTAGGAGACAAACCCAAATTGAGACATTCCCTACAAAATCTTCAAGTGTCAAGGTAATGCAAGTCAAGGAAAGTTGAGGAGCTGTTCTAAACTGAAGGAGACCAAAGAGACAAGACCACTAGATCCAGTGCTTGATCCCACCCTGGATCCTCTTGCTGTGAAGGACGCTGTCAGGACTCCCAGTGAAGCCTGAGAACGGGTCTGCGCGTTAGACGGCAGCAACGTGCCCACAGAAGCACCGAGTGTGATGGGTGCGTTGGAAAAGGGCAGCATGCTTGAATGTGCACAAATCACCAGGGGATCTTCTTAAAATGCAGCCTGTGACTCGGTGGATCTGGGTGGGGCCTGAGTTTCTGCCAGTCCCACCCGCTCCCAGCTATGCCCACACCGCTGGCCCAGGGACCACACTTGAAGTAGCAAGTAGTGAACCTGTGGAGAGCATTTTCTGTGTGCCTCCCAAACACCCACCTTCCTGCTTCTTTTGGTTCCAGACTCTAGTTTTCCTTTGGGAACAATCCCCTCCCAATCTCTGAGCACCTGCCGTGGGTCACACAGTCCCCAACACTCAGACATGAAGTGTGTGACCTGGGCCTATACCATCCCATCCTCTGGCCACTGGGAAAGGTTCAGGGCTGGTCCTGAGACCAGCCAGGGCCAGGGACATGCAACTCTAAGAGGCCTGGCTGAGTCTCTATGAACCCCTTTGTCTTCTTGGGTTTCCAAGCCTAACAGTGGCTCAGGCCCAAGGCTTTTCTGACTCCCACACAACTCCACCACATAGTATCTGTGTGTCTTAGCAAAATGAATTTGTGCCTTCGTTTTCTTACCTATTAAACGGGATGCTTCTCACCTCGAAGGGTGGTGTTAAGAATCAGGTGATGGCGTCCACATAAAGTATTTTACACTGTACTTGTCACAGAATAGATGTTCAATAAATTTTTAGTTGTTCACTTTGGCTTTTGGAGCTTATGACCCCACACAAAAAGAAGGATGGCATCTCACTGTTATGTTTTAGATCACTTTATGTGTTGAAAGTGGTTTATCACAGAGTTTGGGGCCCAGGAAGAGGAGACCAAGTCTTTTGCTAGCTATTATGTTATTGTTTCCTCTGGGTTCTAGCAATTCCTGTATAGCCTAGCTACTCAGCTCATTCCTAATTTGCTCCCATCCTGTACTGAGTTGCCCATATAAATACACATCAAAAGGAAATAAATTAGCAACGTTGTAGGTGCCACCAAGTACAGGAGTTCTCGCTCCCAGGAATCGCAATCTCCTGCCAAAGATCAGAAATGCCTTTTGACTATCTTTATTCTACTGCCATCCTGTGGCCGGTCTCTGCCACTGCAGCACCGTGGGGCGGATGTAGCCGGCATCTGTTAGCATTGTCCCCAGGAAGGGGCTTGGGGTGGGGGGGAAGGGAGTGCAGTTGAAGGGTCCGCTTTAGTCCCGCACCAGCGGGGAGGAGCCTGGGCGTGCATCACCAGTCCTGACTTGATTTCTGTTTGATAAACCTTAAAGATACATAGTACAGGAACGTGAAGCCACCACCGATGCCAATGATGATGAAGTAGATGGCCGAGAGCGGGTACGAGTTCAGGTCCAGAGCACTGAGGATCTGGAGACACAAACACTCATTGAGCTCATTAAGAAGACGTTCGGCGGGACGTCCACCGACGTAGAGTCCGAGGCCTTCCCTACTCACCACATCTCCCGGGACCCAGACGGTGTCGTTGCCCAGCTGCGTGCTGTAACGGCGCCCGCTGAACTGAATCATCATCAGCCCTTCGAAGCACCATCGCAGGAAGGACACTTTGGAAATCCACGCAGGCACTGGGGACAGCAAGAGCCACGTCACTCACACGGTCTCATCCGCCTGCACAAGGGCACCGACCGCTGTCTGGGGCGCGTGCCTGTCTACGAGGGTGGGCCGTGGAGCCTCCGGCCCAGGGGAAGCAAGTCCTCTGAGGGGCAACTGGGTCACGCACCGGGGCGAGGGAGCTAAGAGGCTGTGGGGTCACCCACACAGTTTATCCGTAACAAGTCTAGAAAGTCACTGAATTAGGTGTCCCTGCATGTGCTCAGGTTCTTAGAACACGCGGCCAAGGGGACTCGCAGCCCCAAGCCAGAGAAGCTGGGGGGCTGGGGAGGAAGCCATGAGCCCCGCCAGGAGCTTCCCAAGAGGAAAACGAGGCAGGCTCAGAGGCGAGAGGGAGGGGTGTGCTAGGGGAGGTTTGGACCAAGCAGGGTCATGGGTTTGCACCTCAGAGAGCTTACTGTGCATGGCTGAGAGCTAACTGGGATGTGAAGGGACTGAGGCCACAGAGACCAGACTGTCACAGTGGCTCAGGAGCAAATGATGGGGCAGGGCTGGAGGACAGTGCCAAGGGGACATTTCAGAAAGACTTAGGAGGCAGAATTGACCTGGCACATTGGTGAAGGTAGGGAGAGATCAAGGGTGACTCCTGGGTGTCAGCTGTGGGACATGGGCAGATGCATCTGTATCCTCCAGTGGAACCATCCCCTGGGCCTGCACGATGCTGGCAAAAGCATCTGCTTCCAGAAGGGCCAGCCCCAAGTTGGATCTAAGTGATGAGTTTTCATTTCCAGAAAAAGCCAGGCTTAATCCAGCATTACAAGGCCTAAAAATGCTTGACCAGGTGAGGGGGAGCAGGCCTCACCTGTCCACAGGTTGTTCAAGCTTATCATGAAGCCCCCGGTGAGGTAGAAGGAGTTGTAAATAGCATTGCCAAAGAAGGAGGCCATATATAAGGTGGGGAACATGGCCGAGCTGGCCAGGGCCATGAGCCTGCAGCAGAAGACCACCAGCCACAGCAGCAGGAAGTGCAGCACGAAGGGCTCGGGGCTCGGCTGAAGGTTGGCCAGCCAGTAGGTGGGCATCCCATAGATGATGGTGTAGACGCAGTGCTCTGGGAGCTCCCCTAGGATCTGCAAAGAACAGCCCGTGCAAGCAGGTCCAGCCAATACCTCATGTGCCATTATTTTAAAACGTTTAAAGGCAGTGACACCCAGCAATGCCAACCTTCCCTCCTGGTGACAATCGGGCTATTGCAGTGGGTGCGGGTGTACAGGACACCAAGTGCTCCCTCTGGGGTGGTTTGGCCTGTTTCTCCCAGGGAGGCAGAGGGTACCTGCTCTTCTAAAACCTGGTTTCAAGTCCCTACCCCTCCTGACCAGACCTGTAGCTGTGCAGTCTTGGGAGAGCCACCTAACCTCTCTGAACCTCTGCTTCCTGGAAACACCTGCCTGCCGTGCCCTGGGACCACGGTGAGGCTCTGGAGAGGGAAAGTATGCTGAGTGCTTCTTTTTAAGGTTCCTGCTGATCAGAAAAGTAGCATTCCTGGTCCACAGTCCTGGTCTTCTGGTAAATGTTTAAAAAAGGTCAAGTCTCTGAAACTCCCATAGGAAATGTGGCATCTGCAACCACAGGTGGCACACGCCCTGTGTTTCAGCAAAACGCTCCCCTGTAACAATGCCTTCTGTACCCTGCCCCCCACCATGGGGGCCCCTTGCGTTCAACCCTGTCCAATCACCTTGGCAAAGAAATATGGACCAGTGGTGTACAGCCCGTCTTCCAGTTCATAGTAAAGCATTGCCCTCTCCGAGTAACCTAAAAAATGGGTGAAAGGAGAACAGAATGAAAAAATGAAATTAATCTACAGTGTTTCTGTTTTCAGGTCTCCCTTAACACAATTCAGAGTGGCTACATTGCCTAAATGTCTTATGATTTTAAAAATAAAACAGGCACAGGCACAGTAAAACCATACTAATTTAGATGTTTGATGAGGCTCTTTAGGGTTTGCACCTTGAGGCTTGCGCTTTGCTGTCGGGTATAAATCCTGCCGGATAGAAACGTCTGAGACTCGGTAATTTGCTTTTATTTGCATACTGATACTAAACTTTGAAAAACAATCATTGTTTTTCATACCACCATCGCAAATTATTCAGCAAACCCATTTTCCCTAGGAGCTCAGAGGAGCACAGCTTGGAGGGCGGTGGATGTCCTGCCCTCCGGCTGCTCCGCATTCTGGTCATGACAGCAGGCCACACTCAGGCCACACTCACATTTGGAGGTGACATCCAGGATCACGTTGAAGGGGATGAGAGCTCCAATCATGAACAAGAGGGCCGCCGTTTCCATGAAGGAGAGCTTGTTGGCCCCGTGGCCATAATAGAGGAACCCGATGGTCAGGGACATCACGCAGGCCTCCACCCCATGGATGAAGAGGGTTGGCAGGTCTCGGAAGTCGTTAGAAATCTGACGACTTAACAAACAAAAGGAAGAAGTGCTAAGGAAACGAGATATACCAGCCCTGTGAGCTTGGGAGTGTCACTTAATCTCTGTAAACCTCATTGCTCTCATCTGTAAACTAGGGGTAGTGATACCCACCTCACAGAGTTGCTCTGAGGATTAAAATCAGAAAATTGATGAAAGCATCTGTCCCACAGTAGGTACTCAATACATGATTGTTACTTTTATCATCAGTGTATCAGCCTGGCAATTTTACTTAAAGAAATTATCCTGAGGGAAAAAATCAATTAGGTCCATAAAGACATAGGGACCAGGAAGTTTGCTGTAGCATCCCTTGTAACAGCAAAAGCCTGCAAATCATCTGACGGTCGTGTGGATCTGGCGGGCGAGTGGATCACGGTTAGACCAGGATGCTGAGAAAGATCTTCCAGGCAAGAGCTAGAGGCGCCATCCTAACTGACGAAAAGCCTGTTACAGAACAGTAGAGTGTGACCCACTTATGTATTAAAATGTTCACGTGCATGGAAACATCTAGAAAGACACACCAACCAGTTGGGTCTGGTTTCCTTTGAGGGGGTGGTGTGACCGGGACTTCCCCTTCCCACTTGAGATTCTCTCGTATTGTCTGATTTTTCACAACGATCCTGTGCTATGTCTATGATCATCCAGCCCGTAGGATATTTTAATTTTGCTTAAAGAATAAAAGAAAAGTAACAGGAGTGTTCTGTGTCACGCTGAGGTCTGGTGCTGGTCCCTAGGATGCTGTTTTTTCAAATGACTCTACCTCTTTCTTCCTCCCTCGGATTCACTTTAGATAGAAAGGGCTTAATGTCATATACAAAGACTTTGGGGGCATGAAATGAGAGTTACCGGATGAGCGTGTTGAACTGCTGCACCGCCCCAGGCAGCTGGATGGGAGTCCCGAGGCTGCTGGTGTCCTGTGGGAGGGCCAGGCTGCTGGGGGGCAGAGGATGTGGCTGGGTCAAGGCGGTGGCCACCTCCTGCAGGGAGCGTCCCTCTCGCAGCCGCAGACCCCCTTACCTCTCTGTGCGAGTGCCCACATCGAGCTCCCTCACCTCCGCTTTCCACAGAAAGTCATCTGAGCCACGTATTTTTTCTAGAAACAAGGCAGCAAGAGACCAAGCCTTCTCCCTAGTGGCCACTTCCTGCTCTCTGCTGCGCCTGTCGATGCTGGTCAAGTCCACTGTAAGCAGAGGATGTGGGGCTGTGGGCAACCTGGTCCCCGTAACCTGCTCACAGGTGAGGAGTTCATTGCAAAACCAGTCCGCAACACCGGCTAACCCTCAGGGGGCTCTGGGACATGCTCCCCACCCTCCGAGAGTGACCCATGAAGCAATGGTCAGAGCAGAGAGGGGCAAAGAGACCCCCAAGGCTGGCCCCTCACCCTCCCACCCTGACCGCAGCTGCAGAAGCCGCAAGGGAAGGGCGGTGGATCAGGAAGTGGACGAGTGCAGAGGCCCTGCGCCCTGTCCCACCACCCAGGCTCACTTTGGGAACATCCCAGGACACAGCAGGAGCCTTCAGAGCTAACAGCCACATCACAGTTATGCCCTGGCTCTAACTCCAGCTGTCCAGGAAGCTTTTGATGAGGACTCACCCCCCAGGTGTGCCTGCCCATGGGGAGAAGGTGGCTGGGTCAGGGGAGGCTGGGCAGTCGGGCTCCTGCCAGTTTTATCTCATTGTAAATTAATAATTTGGCCTCTCGAGCAGCCTGCCCCAAGCAAGAGAGTGTTTGGCTGGAGGGTGCCAGGGACCAGCCCCTTGGTCAGCTGCTCTGCCCCTAGGGAGGGAGTCAGCACACCCAGCTGGAGAACGAGGCTGCTCGGCACCCAGCTCCCGAATCCTGGGGATACCACCTGTGGAGAGCACCTGGCTGCCCCACACCACAGCCCTCCTCACAGCCACTGCCTCAACCTCCAAGGCCCTGGCAAGGCCAGTCCAGAAAAGGCGGACCCCACCTAGCCACAGCTACCCTCCCTCCACCCAGCTCACTCCAGGCCCCAGGCCGCCCGCCCTCCCCCATTCCTTCCTCAGAGCCTTGGCTTGGCTGGGGGTTACCCCCCACCTCTCTCCCTCTGCCCTCCTCCGTTTTCACAACACATGTCAAGACAGGATCTTGTGTGGACAGGTCTTGCAAACCACGATGCGTCTCTGCAGTGTGTAGGGCTATAGCTCAAAACACCAGATTTTTCTGGGTACCCCCAGGCCCTGTGTGGCTCCTGCAACCCAGATTGGTGAGAGGGTCCTGCCCCAGGGCCTGTAGGTAAAGTTCCGCTTCCTCAAATAATAATTAAAGAAAAAGAGAAAGTTTTCAGGCCTGCTAGGGACCCCAGGTAACCCCTCTCCAGTGTGACTTCAAATTGCTCTCAGGTTAGCAGGTGCCCTTTGTCCCCTATTCTGGGGGTGGCTGGCCTGAAGATGACACATAGCTGGAAACCAGACTGTCACCTGAACACAGGGAAGGGCGATGACCTTTGTGTGAGTTTATGCTGAGTGTGAGTACACAGGGCCAGGGGCAGCCTGCCCTGGGGGCAGGGCAGAGGTGGTTCGGGACACTGGGAGGCAGGTCTGGGCAGCTGGACCAGGAGTCAGGGCCGGGGGCCGGGCACCCAGCCCAGTTCTGTGCCTTACACCCTTCGGACTCTTGTCTTCCCTTCTGTAAAGATGGAGATGCCCTTGGCCTAGCAAGGATGTGAGGGTCAAACAGGAGACCCTCTGGAGCTTGGCACTTTTGGGCCCAGTCTATGCCTTCAAGGAGATGGTCCCCGTCATCATATTTACTAGTGAGGTTCTTGCTACACCTCGCCATCCTAGGAGGAATCTGGGGCTCCCGGTGATTTGTGGGACAAGCCTCGTTGCTGCTTCCCCGTGCATAGTACAACAGCGCCGCCTGTCCAGCAGCCACACCCTTCCTCAGCACTCAGGATCCAGGTCCCTGCATTCAGGGCAGGTGTCTGGGAAGGCAGCTCCCCCCTCACTGTCCTCCCCGAATGAAGGAAGTGGCCCCTGGGTGTAATATGCTGAGTCCAGGACCCAAGCAGAAAGGCATGTCTGAGGCTGCCCGAGCAGTTTTCCTATTTGGAGATTCACTGGCCAAGACCACCACAAAGGACCTGAGCCAGCCGTGCCCTGCGCCCTCCGCCACCCTGCACTTTCAGGGTGCCTCTGTGGGGGCACCAGGGCACAGTCTTAAGATTTCCTGGTAGGTTCCTGACCTTAAAGACCTTAAGTTTCCCTACAGAGTCTGAATAAAGACCATAGTTTTAGAACTTGGTCCACACCCCCGGGATTCTATCCCCTCCCATCACTGAGCTCCCGTAAGTTTCAAATCCGTCATGCACAGAAGGGCGGCTATTTATCAGAAGCTGCTTTTGGGCCCGGCGCGGTGGCTCAAGCCTGTAATCCTAGCACTCTGGGAGGCCGAGGCAGGTGGATCGCTCAAGGTCAGGAGTTCGAGACCCCGTCTCTACTAAAACATAGAAAGAAATGATCTGGACAACTAAAAATATATACATAGAAAAAATTAGCCGGGCATAGTGGTGCATGCCTGTAGTCCCAGCTACTTGGGAGGCTGAGGCAGTAGGATCGCTTGAGCCCAGGAGTTTGAGGTTGCTGTGAGTAGGCTGACACCACGGCACTCTAGCCTGGGCAACAGAGCCAGACTCTGTCTCAAAAAAAAAAAAAAAAAAAAAGCTGCTTTTGTCACGTCCTCATTTCCAGCATCTGATACTTGGCAAACTGACCCACGTCCTCTACCCTGCTCGCCCAGCACCTCCTCCCCTCCTCCTTTCCTGAGGCCCCCGAGAGAGTTTTTCTCCTGAATCTTTTCAGCAAGCTCTGGGGGGTGTTGGGAGCATAGTTGCTGGTCTCGCTGGCTCACCATAGAAGTCAGCAGGGTTGCTGTAACGAGGACAGGGGTAGCCGATGGCTGTGAAATACTCGACCATGTGCTGGGCTGCCCCCAAGTAGATGGTGGTGCCAGACGTCATCAGCAGGACCAAGTCAAACAGCCTGAAGATGTCAGAGCGGGGCTGGTGCAGGGAGAGGAGCACCAGCCTGTTGCCCTTGGCCAGCCTGGACAAGGTCTTCACCAGGTTGTGGGCCGTGAAGCTGTCGAGCCCGGAGGTGGGTTCATCCAGAATGAGGATCCCTTCCCACCAGAGAGAGGGGCTGGTGAGTTAGCAGGACTCCGACTGGACCAAGTCAGAAGCCCCACTGCCCCCCTCTGGCCCCCACACCCCTCACCTGGGTTCCACAGGAGCTGCACCCCAATGCTGACTCTCCTCCGCTCACCCCCCGACACCCCCCGCAAGTACGTGTTGCCCACACGTGTGTCTGCACACTGCCGCAGCCGCAACTCGGCGATCACGTCCTCCACCTGCGGGCAAGAGGGGAGCCCTGAGGCCACCTCCAAGGGCCTCCCTCAGGGCTCGACACGTTGTGACCCAAAGTATGTAAGCACCTGCTCCTCTGGTTGGGTTTTACCGCAAAGGAGGACAGAGCCAGCACTTTATTTCCCTGCTGCGATATTTTTTCCCCTGATTCTTTCCCCAGATCCTGAGCCGGTCTGACATGCTGGGCATGGTGCCACGTGCTGGGAACGTGCCATGCACTGAGGACCAGACAGCCAGGCTCCCTGCCCATGCGAAGGACCAGAACACATAAACAAATAAACTCATTGCACATTTTGACAAGTGCTGTGAAGGGAAGCGCCTGGGGCTGGGATGGCTTGCACTGGGCTGTGGGCTCCCAGAGGAGGGCTCGCCTGTGGCTGGGTCCTGAGGCAGAGCAGGGAGGGATGGGGCTTACCCTTTTGTCACGCTGGGCCTGGGAGAAGGATCTGGGCAGGCGCATTTGGGCAATGAAGGTCAGGGTCTCTCGGACGGTCAGGTTGGGGAGCAGCTGGTCATGCTGGCGCACGTGGGCCACACACTTCCTCACCAGCTGAGGTGTGCTGGGCTGCCCATTTATCCAGATTTGGCCTGACTTAATCTTGCCACCGTGGCCTCGGTTGGTGATGACATCCAGCAACGAGGCTCTCCCACAGCCTGTGAAGCCACCAGAGACATCCGTGAGAGCAGAGCTTCTGTGGGGCCAGCCTGGCAGGCATTGCTCCCTGAACACTCTCCTGCACCCTGGACTGTTCTGTCCTTGCAGATGTGACCAGCCCCTGGAGAGGTGACACAGCTCCCAGACCAGATGGGGTGGCCCCAGTGCACGGAGCTCCAACCCTTTTGTCTGCAGCCAACTTGAGCATCCTTGGGGGTTTGGGGGCACATTGATGCTGGGGGTTCAGGCCAGGGTAGCCAGTAACTACACGATGGAAGGGGGCTGGGGTCCTGGCTGCCACAGGCTGCTGGTGCCTGGAGCGTTTGTCCCCTCGCCAATAACCAACGCCCTTTCTCCCCAAGCACGGCGAGTGTTAATATAACTATTTTTGGCTGGCAAACACACCAGCAACATCTCACTGTTCAATGTCGTTTGGCTCAGAAGCTGGCTTTGTGAGAAGGACTAATTTGGAGCATTTATAGGGTATTTTTTTAAAATGCAAAACCAGAACCTATTTTGAGAAATAAGGGAGAAAAAAAGCAGAGAAATAATAGATGTGGAAATGATTTTAAAACTACAACACAATGCACACAAATGTTCTGAATATATCTACACACTTCTCTCTCTTATTTTTAATCAGTGGTATTTTTTAACTCTCTAAAAAGAAAAAGATCCATTGTGCTCAAGTTAACACCATCTACTTCTGAATGATGTATCAGTTATTGATTCGGGGAAGTCAGCATCAGATTGGATCTAGTTTTCAAAAGCATTCCATAAGGCTCTTTCTTTGACAGCTATTTAAAACTGCAAATGCAAACTGGGCTCAAGCTCTGAGAACATCTTCCTATCACCGAGCCAGGAATGAGCGCTGTCCGATTCCCCTACTTGGGGTTTTGATTTCCTGACTATATATTCCTTTTGGAGAGCAAGTTCTTTATGTTGTTTTCAAACAAGGAAAATGCCAAAATATAACATGTGACAAGTCCTCTTTGACACGTGACATATGCCGCCTGGAGGCAGCCTCGTAACACCCAGTGAAAAAACCAAAAACAGAAACTTCCCCCTGTGATATTTACAGTTACTGCCCAGAGGCTGTCAGGGAGAAAGGGGCCTGTGGGCTGCCTCCTGGACACACCTTGTTTAAGATCCTTGAGAACGGAAGTGGAACAAAATAGTCGGGAGACAAACCGGGGATGGGGGGGCTTCCCATGCAGGCTCTGGGAGCGCAGGGGACTTTGCCAACATTCACAGGGACCACAGGATTCCCACTCAGAAAGCAAAAAGGCCACATTTCCTAAGCAAAACTTACAGCTGTGGGTAGCTCTTCCCACAGAGGATGCCTGGTACACCGGGGGAGACCCTCTATGAACCAGGAGAAAACACACACAGGCATTCAAGACCCTTGTAAAATGGCTGGAATCTCCAAATCAGTAAATTCATTAATTGGAAAACACTTTTGGCATTGTTTATTTTATAGAAGAAGCTAAAATGCTTGGGGTTGCTTTTATTTATATTTTTAAAATTATGGCCAGCATTCTTTGTGTATGAGTGTGTGTGTGCGTAGAGTAAAAGTCACAGGAAGTATAATTGATAAATCTTTCTAAGAAATCATTTGAATAATTTCAGCTGTTAAACTAAATTTGGCTTGAGACTGCTTCCATATTTGCAGTTGCTACAGAGGGAACTGCAATTTCAGTACGTAAACAAACTGCAACCTAACTTATAAATATATTCTATCTTAAGACAGAGATTGGCTGAGACAAATTGCTGAGTTTCAGCCAATCTTGGCAGCCAGGCTTCAGCTAATCACAGCTGCCAACTGATCAGATCACGTCCACATAAGGCAACTGCCTCATCACATTATGCCCAAATAAATAAGACAAATCCCAAGCTGTAACCAATCAAGTTGTTTCTCTAGGGCACTTCCTTTTCCTGTTTGTAAACATTGCCTGCCCCCATTGCTGTGTGGAGCTCTCTGAACCTCTCTTGCCTCTGAATGCTGCCAGATGCAAGAATCGTTCTGCTAAATTTTATTTGTCTAAAGTTTTTCTTTTAACATAGTCAAGTGAACCTGAAACCAAACAACACTGAACCTAGAGTCAAAAGATCTGGGGACTATTTAATGTAATTCTTGCTCAGCCTCTCTGAACTTCACTTTCCTCAACCACAAGTCAGGGATACTAAGAGCTAGAGGGTTATATGTAAGGGATGTTAATCATAGTGATGCTAAGTAGGGCCCATGTGTCCCCTAGATGCTCAATTCAGGCAGAAAAGGCAGGTATAACAAGAAAAGCTGCCAGAAGTTATTAGTAGAACTAAAATAATAGGTCCACGACGGATCCATTCTTTTCTTGTTTAGGTCAGGATTGCAGGGACAGGGCCAAAGTGGTAGGGACTTAACGATTACACGTTGCTTCAGTTACAAAGTGCATGGACACATGGTATCTCATTTGATCTTTGGTTAGACAATAAACAGCTTCTCCACCAGAAGAATACGAAAGTTTGGAGCACGTGTTGAAGAAGTTGAGCAATTGCTAGCTCTGGAAATGATTAATTAAAAGTTATAAAATGCTCTAAGACTATGTAAGAGTATTCCACGGAGAAATGCCTTGGTCTGAGAATCAGAAGACCAAAGCTCTAGTTCTAGCTCTGCATTCAATGTGTGTCCTTAGGAGAATCACCCAGCTTCCCTGGGCTTGAGTCTCCCATCTGCCAAATGAAGGGGA